TAAAATAATTTATGTCATTGTTCTGTCCCTATACTCATTACTGTACAGAATATTACGGGTCAGGTTTTTAGCCGTTACGGGTCAGGTTTTAGCCAAGTACGTCTTAGCCAATCGATATCAAGACTTAAATCATGTGATGTTAATTAACCAATGATTACATTAGATCTATCACAAAGAAATAATTTTGGCTAGGAATGATTCTCGCCTTTCTGTTTACTAAAATTTATCTATTTTTGAAGTCATAAGCTTTATTTAAAGTGAACTAATTACGTATTACTATGAACAGTTATCTTATTAATCTGCTGGGAGCGAATTTTAGGGACGGTGTCCCCCGTTTCATATTCAATTTCGTGACGAAAATGGCAATTCATTTCACGGCAACACGGGCAGGATATCGTAACAGGATACAATTTATTATCAAATGAACATTTCTACATTCGTTATTAAATTTCACCTCATTTGAGACTCGGGAATTTAGACAGAACGATTGTAATCTACGACATATTTTTGTAGAAATGCAACTTTTTTGGGAGCTTTGAAAGTTTGAGACATCATCAGTCGGGAAACGGGTACGTTACGATACCGAAATCAACTTGATTTCGGTAAAGTTACCGAAATCAACTTTTCATTACCGAAATCAACTCGTAAAAACCAGACTAGTTAAAATATTGCTATTATTTCTTCATTATTTGATGAAAAATAATGAAATAGACTTTCAGTTAATAAAATCTATTGAAAATATTTTATTTTAATGATTTTATTAACAAAAATGTAATTATTGAGTTACTTCCCTTTGTTCTAAACAACCCGTTATGTGTTTAGCATTACCGAAATCAGCTGTGAAGTTTAAATTATGTATATAATTAGTACATAATAGATTAGATAACTCTAGTAGAGCTCTATTTTATAGACATATTTCTGTTTTTAAGTTTCAACCATATCTAAATATTATCAATGTTGAACGGTTTTGTAATGATCTCACTAGGTTAAGAGTATCATCTCATAGATTACACATAGAATCAGGTAGATGAACTAAACAAATAGTAAACCTTTAAATGATAGAAAATATTTTTCATGTAATGTCTTAGAAGACGAATACCATTTCATATTAGAATGCAATGTATATAATGATTTAAGAAAAAGTCTGATACCGCCATATTAGCATGTTATATATCTGCACGTGATTGTCGTGCATAACAATTTTCTAATCAAATCGTATTTTTAAAAAGATATGATCGGACTATGATGGGGAAAAAAAACTCTGTAATATGAGTTAAAGATATTTATAATTTTTGTACATGTTTATGTTTTATGAAGAAAAAATATCCAACTTTAACCGGGAGTTTATGATTATCTATTATAAATATGAATACATATATATAATTCGACTGCTCTAAAAATGTTCCATAAAGATTGTATAATGTATCAGGCAGTAAAATTGGAAATTGAAAAGTTTGTGTCTTTCTTTTATTGAACAGTTAAACTATATATTAACAAATCGCTAACATATGTTATGGGGACTCTTTATCATAATATTTTTAAATTTTAGTCATTTATTTAAATGTTTATTACGACATAAACAGATGGCTCATTATAATCTTTTATCTTCTGGACCAAAATAAAGCAAGGGAATACTTGGTCGGAGCAGTTGATAGACAAGGTTGACCAATTGCCACTCATTTTCACTGGGCAATCAGAAACTGCGCGAGCAATCCGGAAAATCTGAAGAAACTTCTGAAGAATATTACCTCACATTATAAAAATGAGCACAGCGATTGTCACCAAACATCCAGATGCAAAAAAGATCCTAACTATGAACCTTCAAGGACAGTCATTACTGACCCAAAAGCAGAAAAAATGTTACAGACTGTCATTGAAAAGTCCGTGATTTATAAATCTCCCCAAGACTATATACTGGCTAGGGACACATCATACGTGGAATCGTTCAATAATGTGATGAACATCTTCCAGGACAAGAGGATTGCATTCAGTGATGACACATATCAAGTCCGGTCAATGCTAAGTGTTCTGCACTGGAATCACAATGTTGACCGGGATCATACATCAGTATGGAATCCAAAAGATCCACGAGCACCACGCAGGCAACGTGGTAAAAAGAATTACAAGCCTTACAACTACAACTACAGAGGCCAAATCTGGAATAAATATATGGATACTATCTACCGGCCGCGCAGAGTAAGACAACAACATAGGCAATAAATAAAACAATATACATTGTATTCAAACTAATGGATCATAAGTGATTTGTACATATTATGTGAAAATAATGATAGGTTTTGTGTACACTGTTTCCTAATAGAGTTCATTGAAAGTGAAAATGAAACAAACATTTAATATTTTTAACTTTACTTTTCATAACCATAATTTAGTTCACCAGAATTCAAAAAAATAAGTTTTGTTTCCCAAAAAAATAAAAGAGTCAAGTGGACAAACAGATAAATGTAAGTTACATTTTTTCTATATACAAGGCATTTCTAAACAATTAGTATTTACTGTTTGTATATACTGACTATCACCGATTTTCATAAATTATACACTTCATTGTAAAATATGTAATTGCAATATACATCCTGACAGCACTGCTATTACCTTTTCATCAAATTGTAAAATCATTATCCCCCCAATAAATACACAACTTCTTTATCTCTCCTGAATGCTGAACTCTCCTATACTATTGCAGACCACATGTTTATATTTACAAGCATGCTGACCTCAGGTCATGATAATAAAACCCCGCCTCTTGTACCTAATATGCTTAATGGCCATCCGTACGGATATCTGAGTTCACATTCCCCGGCCTTTAACATACATTGTATGCCAACTGTACCTCCTGTCTTAATTACTTTACACCTTACTTTATACAGTAATACACAACATGTCAAATCGTACAAGTAACAACATTTCATAATTGAAATTTGTCAGTATAAAGTGTTCAATTTTTTCCATCATATAAATATATACCAGTCATACCATAAATTTATGCTGTTTACAGATATGAAATTTAAAATGATTTTAAATCGACCAACATAAAATCATGACTTAACACTTTTTCAATAAGTAGGATATGTAGTTAAGTATCCGGGACATCAAAAATTGCATACATTTTTGGAACAACTGATATGCAATTTGGTAATAATTATATCAAAGCACCTTGTCTCATATACCGAAATGTTTTCTACGGAAACGTATATAGCGACCACCCCTATATGTTAGTTAAAACAGATCTTTTGACAATTTATTTAATATAAAATTATATTTTTACCAGCTAACTAGATCTGAAATATTTATACTATAAAACTATAAAAAAAAGTCTTTTGATATATATTTTATAGGGATGGTCGCTATACGTCATTTTATATTAAACTGTAATGTACTTTTTGTCTTAATGGAGACAAGCAGCTTTAATTTCATGTAAAATAATTATGTCTAATTATGTTGTTTGGACACTTTAAAGTTTCCATACGCCGATGTTTATTAAATGATTGAGGTGAACGAGTATGTTATGTCAACTAACACCTCCATTGTCCGAGCACGTGTATGCTTGCTCCTTATTAGTAAAGGTGTTATGATGAATGGCTACCGCTACGTCTTTTTATTTTAATCAAATCATAATCATTGGATTTAAATTAAGTACTGTGATAATTTCCAATCAACTATTTCTGAAATTCATGCAAATTATTTAGGGGTTGTTCTCATCTTTGAAATGAAATCTGATTTGATTTCGGTAATGCAACACATTAATAACAAGGGAAGTAATCATGATATAATATACATATCCATCTATAACATCATCATTTTTATAATTAAATATTAGTTTCCTTTGTTTTTGGTTCAGTTTGTATGGCTTTATATTAATTAATTAAACAAGATCTATTAAAATGTTTATGTTAACTTTTACAAGCCGATTTCGGTATGGTAACATATATTTCGGTTCGTGACAAATCAGGGAATAATCTTGAAATTTAGTTATTTGTTTCTAATTTCATTATTAATAGTTATTTCAAACTGATTTTTTGCATGAAAGTCAAACTTAACCTATTGTAATATATTATAATGAAAAAAATATAATAAAACGCTTAATTGTGATTTTATAAGTTGATTTCGGTAATGAAAAGTTGATTTCGGTAACTTTACCGAAATCAAGTTGATTTCGGTATCGTAACGTACCGCAACAGTTGTGCCGGCCTTTGGACACTGTTGGAACTAATGACATTTACAAATCAGAATTTATCCACAAAACGTTGCTCGTCATATTACAGATACCATACTATTTACGAGTCCTGAAAGTTACCATTGTTCAACAGTTCAAGTTTTGTACAGATGCCAAAACAAACATAAACGATCATACTTATGGCGAATAAATGGTTCATGGTTGACATGTCTAAACAACATTTACCTGTTTACACCAGATGGATGCCACCTGTTTACTCTGATCAGCTACGTCTCCTCAATGAGATAAGAACAGCAGCTTGGTCGCCGCCCCGAAGCATTTCATTTGTCAGACAATTTCAAAAGATAAGTATTTTGTTTACTATGTCTTTAAGTTATATTGTACTAAAGTCAGTATTTTACTGCATTGTCTGCCTGCCCTGTTATACAAACTATGAACAGATGAAGTCTAGGTTTGTTGCTTTGTCTTAACAAATTAATATAATAAGCTTTGATTATGACTCGAAGTAGATCTACTTAATGAATTTATCAGTGAGTAAATTTCTTTATATTTATAATATATAAGGTTATTCATTGCCGGGTTTGTTGTTGGTCATCAATTATTCTCCTAATGATAATGTACAAGAATGCAGTATTAATCAGACATAATTTTTCCTGGACACATAATTGAAATTCTATATTAGTCATGTTAGTTATCACTTATTTCCAATTCATTTACAGTTCACACAAACTTCTAATTAGAGTAGATAATAGTACATTTTCTGATTTTCTGCTAGTCTACTATACATTTGTACACACATCATCGAATTACGGACAGGGCGGACCGTGAGACAGGGCGGACCGTACCAGGGCGGACCGTGACTCGAGACTAGGCGGACCATATTTTGGGACAGGGCGGACCGTCACTCGAGACGAGGCGGACCGTGATTTAAAAAAGTATTTATATGTGGATTTATGTAATAAAAGTATTAAATTATTGATGTTTTTGTTCTTCGTATTAATATTTTTATATTTTTTTTATAAAAGTAAAAATATAAAATTAGTTTTAAAAGTTCATGTGTAATTGTATATTAATTTGCTGATTGGACGATGTAATTAAGACAAAACACGAAACACTTATGATATAAACTAGATTACAGTAGTATTATAAAAATAAGTATGATGATTAAGTATCAATTAAAATATAATTGTGTTTTGTTTTTATCAGCTGTGATTAAAACAGAAAATGTTTGGCATAAGAAAAAACTGTTAAAAAGTTAACATCGTTCACCGAATGGCATTAATCAACAGGCCGTTAATCAACAGTAGGTGATAATTGCTTTTGACTAAATTAATTTGTTTGCATTTTATATTAAATTTGATTGAAAACACAAGTATATAAGCTAGCCAAAAACTTCAGGAAATCACAAATCACTTGTAACCTTTACTGCGTAACAATGCCAAAAAATCCTTGTGTACACTGTGACAGAGGTGTGTATTCCAACCACCGAGCCGTTGAGTGTGATTCTTGTCATAGATGGCAGCATTTACTGTGTGGAAATACAGGTAAGAAAAATAACAATAATTTGAATGTTTAATATTATTATCATACATTTCAATAAAATATAATTTCATACATTTCAATGAAATATAATTTTTAAAGTTTTTTCAATGATTTATTGTATAAATGATATACTTTATTAAATTAAATAACATTACATGTTTTTATTACATCTTTAATAATTGTGTTTTGCTTTGTTTCAGGTATTAGTGTAAAGGACTACAGAAAAGCCGTCCACGATGGTAGTGACTTGCCATTTACGTGTATTCAATGCTCGCCAGATGTTGATGAACATATCAGAACTCCAGATAAATCCACCAACAATGCTGAAAGAAATGAACAATTAAGTGTATCCTTAGAAATCCCGGTAGTGAACAACACATCTTCAGATATTTATGACATCGAATATTCCAGAAGTGAAACAATGGACTATAGTTCTGACTCCGATTATGACGTGACCAGAAACATACGGGACATGGCTATGGATCCACCAGAAACGTAAGCATTAGAATTATAATGATGATCATTTTAATCTTAAAATAAATATCGTTATATTTTAGTATATTTGTTGCCAGTAATTGTTGCCCGATTCATTAAATAAACGATCCGTTATGAAGACAATAGGCATATTTTAAAATAGTTATTTATTTAGTCATCTATATTTAAAAATAATTAAATGTCTTGCTTTAATTTCAGAACATTTACAGACGCCGAGACGGTTCAAGAGGTTCCAGTGAATTCGCCGATCGAGTACGAAATCGTCAACAATGGTTCCCTTGGTGGGAAACCGAAGCTAGTGTCATCAGAGGGGTATTCATTTGTGAAGAAACGGACATTTTCGAATGGTACAATCGACTGGAGATGTAGTGTTCGCCACAAAGGAAGCGGTTGTCTAGCCACAATTAAAGAACTCAACGGTGTATATCGTATAACGGGACAGCCACATAACCACGCCTCAAAGCCCGGTCTGAACACTGCGGTTCAATTCAAAAGTGAAGTAAGTGATTAATTTTAATTAATAGTTTAATTTAATTAATTAAGTATTTTAAAAAGTTATTATATATTTCTATACCTTCCCCTTATTGCATTAATAAGTAAACTTAAAATATTGTCTTGTTAAATACATACAAATGTTTCTTAAAATATAAACGTGCACTTACTTTATTTTCAGCTGAAAGAAGTCTCCAAGACAAAACTATTTGAGTCAGCATCCAATATAGTGTCAGACATCTCTAGAAAGCATCAGACAGCCGATCAACCTCCGTTTTCAAGACCAAGTCAGACGAGTCTTTTGAAACTATGTAACAGGGCCAGACAAAAACTGAGACCAGAAGAACCAGTAACAACAGATTTTGAAGTAATTAAATAATATACTTATACTATACTATACGATTGCATTTACTCGTACAATAATTTCTGAAATGTAACGTTAACATTTAGTTCATTTTAACATTTATATTTATCTATGTAACAAAATTATTACATATTTTGCAGGTAGATGAGCAGTTCTTGGAGAATTTGGGTGAACGATTTCATTGTGTGAGAATACCAGCAAGAGAATGAAGATATGTCATTTACGCTACAGACTGTCAATTGGACCTTCTTCAACAAGCCAAGACATGGTATATAGATGGAACATTCAAGGTCGTCCGCAAGCCGTTTTAGCAACTGTTTTCAATTCAAGCATTCTTAAAGTCTGGGGAAAATGTCAAAAAAGTCGGCAAGAAGAGACGAGATTATAAGAAGGTAATATTATTACGTTTTCTTTTTGCATTTCTTTTTAATGAACCAGTAAAAAAATATTTCTTTTATTGGAAAATCCTTGAATACAATGTTAACAAAGTATCTTTAAAGTAATTATATTTATACGTCTTTATTCATTGATAAAATCTTTATTAAATTAATTACATGAACGAATTTTTACATTGCAGATTTTTCAAGCTGTGCTAAGGTTAATGCCTTCAACAAATGTGGAGAAGTTTGTGTTAGATTTCGAGATTGGGCTGTGGCAGGGGTAAAGAGATGCTTTCCAAGCGCCGCAATACAGGGGTGTGCCTTTCATTTTGGACAAGCTTTGTGGCATAAAGCTCAAGAGTTGGGGTTACAGGTAAAACATAATAAAACATTATTTTAAAGCTTTGTATAATTTTAAACCAATTTTACATTTCTCTACAAAAATATTATTGTCACTTAAATAAGTTTTATAAAAAATTATAAATGTAATAAAATAAAAAAAACACATTTAGATGTTATGGTCAATAAACTTTTCTTTCTTTTACAGAGTGCTTACAGCAACAATGATAAGGTATATAAACTGATGAGGAAGACATTCGCGCTCCCACTGCTGCCACATGAAGATATTGAGAAGACATTCGATAAGCTACAGAGTCAAAATACCGACGAAACCTTAGGCCAGTAATTTGAATATATCAAATCAACATGGATCAACAGTGACATCTGGAGCCCTGAAAATTGGTCCGTCTTCGGGTGTTCTATCAGAACTAACAATGACGTTGAAGGTTGGCATGCTCGTCTTAACAGACGTGCTGTCAAGGGTAACCTACCCTTCTACTTGTTAACTACTCTATTGTTCCAGGAAGCCTGTGACATACCTATGATCTACAAACTGGTGAAAGAATCCAAACTTAGAAGAATTCAGCGAAAGTCCACAAGAACCATACAATCTAAATTAATGAAGCTATGGACAGAATATTCCAATAAGACTCTTTCAACAAAGAAATTTCTTGACAGTTGTGCCAGACTTTACGGTCCTGTATAAGGAAAGAAGTGCTGTGTGTATATATAAATTTATAAAATGAATGTTCAATGTATGTGAATATATTTGATGTTTTGAAATGTTACATGTTCATCATTCCGTTTCCGTATATCTATATCATGTCATGTCATTTTATCTTGTATTGGTATTGTAAATAATGTGTCTCTTCTCGTCTGTGATGTAAAATTTGTATATAAACTCGTCATTCCTCATCATTGTGTGTATTGTAATACTTGTGTTTATTGTTTAATAAATTCTATTTCAGTGTTCTTTTTATTTAATGTGTCTGTGCTTAATATGTAAATTTTAATAAAAATGTTTTGGACTTTAAATATGTCACATTTTTTGTTATTGTGTTTTATTGCAAATACTTTTTATGTGATGTAATTCGTTATCATTGTTATTTCGTGTATTGTACATAAAAATATATATGTTTTTATGTGTCTTATTGTTTAATAAAGTTAAAATTTTAGCAGCGTTAGCGTCTTATACAAACAACGACATTGTAATATCCCGATAATTGGTCAATTATCACCTGCGTAAGTCGACGCAGTTACAAATACTTTCTCGAAAAAAGTATTCTACTCTAATATATATGTTACATATGTCACTTTGAATTAAAATATTAATACGAAGAACAAAAACATCAATAATTTAATACTTTTATTACATTTATCCACATATAAATACTTTTTTAAATCACGGTCCGCCTCGTCTCGAGTCTCGTCCCAAAATATGGTCCGCCTAGTCTCAAGTCATGGTCCGCCCTGGTACGGTCCGCACTGTCTCACGGTCCGCCCTGTCCTGCAGTCACATCATCATAGCAGTATTATTTAGCAACATGTTAAGTAACAGTCCAGATTGGAGCGATTTAGCCTTATTTCTTTTTAATTTTACATATTTTTTGTTGACTCCAACTAAATACAGTAAGTGTGATTTAGTTTATAATTTCCATACATTCATGTTTCACTGTTTTGTTTGTTTTTTTTTTTCAGTCATTGAATTTAAGATTCAAAATTACTGTTCTGAATTCTAATTTTGAATTTATTCTACTATACACTTAATCAAATTTTCTTTAAATTTACACTGACCTGAACTAATTTTCACTGGCCTAGGACCAGTGTTAAATTCTATGACTGGTTTTACAACAGTTTAAACACGATTACAACACAAGGTTAGTTTACAGTCCGTGTTAGTTGCATTTATACATATTCTAGTATACATGGCTTAATATATAGTTTTATGTCTGCGGGTCTTAGTGAACATTTAGTACACATTTTCAACACAATATAGTTGACGATCCATGTGAGTGTGATTTTGTTTATAATTATACGCATCGTATGATAAATGACTTGGTTTATAATCCATGTCTGCTTTATAAAGTTTACAGTTCGCACATAGTTTTATAATACATGTACATGTAAGTGTGATTTTGTTTACAATTCGCACACATCCCATGATACATGGCTCCGGTTATAGACCATGTCTTAGTGATTAAGTTTACCGATGATACACATGGTTTAGTTTACACGCATATTTTCTACACATGGTTTAGTTTACACTCCTGGTGAGTGTGATTGAGTTTAGAGTTCTCGCATATCCAATTATACATTGCTTAAGTTTATAGACAATGTCTGTGTGATTTAGTTTACAGTTCACGCCTAATTTCTACACATGGTTAGTTTACAGTCCATGTGAGTGTGATTTAGTTTACAGTTCACACTTATCATATTATACATGGCTTAGTTTAAAGTCCATGTCTGCCTGATTTAGTTTACAGTTCACGCCTATTTACACATGGTTTAGTTTACAGTCCATGTGAGTGTGCTTTAGTTTACAGTTCACACATATCCTATTATACATGGTTTAGTTTAAAGCCCATGTCTGCGTGATTTAATTTACAGTTCACACTTATTTATTCACACATGGTTTAGTTTACAGTCAGTGCGAGTGTGATTTAGTTGATAGTTCACTCATAATTATCCTATCAGAATTAATTTAATAATCAATTACATTTCATACATTTAGTCTACCTTAATGACAAAATAATTCATATTTTTCAGATGAAACGGCCACAAATTCTCCTTACACCTGTTATTCAGGTCCACAACAAGGAAAAGCCAAATACCAAGAATGTCCAGTAAATCCTGCAAAAACCAAGACTAGTCGAGGGAGCAATCATTATCGTTGAATTAATAGTGCAAGCGGACCTGGGACCTAAGACAATGCTTTCATCAGTACATTAGCAGCCTTTCATTACATGTTTCATAGTTTTCAAGGTTGAGTCAGATAATGAATAAACTGATGTTGGCATACATGTTTTACACAGCTTCAAGGAAATTCATATTTATTGCCCAAGACAGTTGAAATAACATAAGAAGTAATGGTATTCAGATTGCTGAGCTAATAATTACACCTTTTATAAACCAGAAATAGATTCTGTACTTGTCTTGTCATCTTGGTTTAGTTACACGCCTTGCTATTCTTTCAACATACCATTATTGTACTAGGCATTGCTTAGTTTACACGCTTTGCCATTTGTTTGTCTGTACTTGTCAGCTTGGCTTAGTTTACACGCCTTGCTATTATTTCAGCATACCATTGCTGTATTAGGCATTGCTTAGTTGACACGCTTTGCCATTTGTTTGTCTGTACTGGTCGGCTTGGCTTAGTTTACACGCCTTGCTATTATTCAGCATACCCTTGCTGTATTAGGCATTGCTTAGTTGACACGCTTTGCCATTTGTTTGTCTGTACTTGTCAGCTTGGCTTAGTTTACACGCCTTGCTATTATTTCAGCATATCATTGCTGTATTAGGCATTGCTTAGTTGACACGCTTTGCCATTTGTTTGTCTGTACTGGTCAGCTTGGCTTAGTTTACACGCCTTGCTATTATTTCAGCATACCATTGCTGTATTAGGCATTGCTTAGTTGACACGCTTTGCCATTTGTTTGTCTGTACTGGTCGGCTTGGCTTAGTTTACACGCCTTGCTATTATTTCAGCATACCCTTGCTGTATTAGGCATTGCTTAGTTGACACGCTTTGCCATTTGTTTGTCTGTACTGGTCAGCTTGGCTTAGTTTACACGCCTTGATATTATTTCAGCATACCATTGCTGTATTAGGCATTGCTTAGTTGACGCGATTTGCCTTCATTCATAAATTTTAATAGTGTGCATTGCTTAGTTTAAATGCTTTGCAATTTGTTTTCAAGTCTCAAATTATGTACTGTCTTGTCAGCTTGGCTTAGTTTATTTTATCCATTCTGCACGGCTGATGCTTTAATTTGATATGAAATTGGATTTTAATTGTACATGGATACATTGTTACATCATGCCAGAAGTTCTTTTTCAAATTAATCATGTATGGGAACCCTACTAGCCCGCGCAAGAAAAATGTCCAATATCTAGTCAGGAACGACAGCCTTTATAAAAGGCCGCGGGAGATTTCCACATCATGTCTTAAATACATAAGTTTTTAATTAATCTAGGTTACAGTTTTACACTTTAATTTTTCGTAATTTAAGATCTGTCGGTATAAGGCAGCAGATCTTTATATATAGAAAAAGCAGTGAATTTCAGCAAACTGAGTGCCATTACAATCTTTTAAATTACTGACAGTTTAAGGCTGCAGTACGTTATACATACTGTAGGTTACAGTTTTCCACTTTTATTTTGGTAATTTATGATCTGTCGGTATAAGGCAGCAGTTCTTTAGATATTATAAAAAAGACAGTGAATTAATGCAAACTGAGTGTCATTACAATCTTTCAAATAACTGACAGTTCAAGGCTGCAGTTTTCTCCTTGCTGACGGTGCAAGGCTGAAGTTTATTTCTTTCGTGCCATAATAATGTGTATGACGGTATTCCTATTCATGTATATCTTGTGGCAGATATGCACAATTTGGCTTCATAAAGGTTTTATAAATCTGACAGTACAAGGCTGCAGGTTTCTTAATTAATCATACATATAATTTCAGATTGTGTTCATGCTACTGCATGATATTAATATCACTAGTTGAATGGATTTATGTAAATGTTAAAAGTACATTTGTACTGAAGGTTTTTATGTATTATTGTAGAAATGTTTACATTCACATCTTGTTCAAAGGTCTTGTTACTTTATAATTTTTTGGAAGAGTCTAGTCTTGTATAGAAACTTTTTCTATTTATCCTTACTTAATACATTAATTTATATTTTTCATGCAACAATCATATAATGAACAAATTAACATTAGACACGTCAGACTCACATGTATTTAGGTCAAATGCATAAATAAGGTTTAATTAGATATTTTACAATTTTGATTTCAATTCTACATTAGGTCTTAACTGATAATTGGAAAAATGTATAGCGAACAAATTGACATTTACATCTATTTTGGTTTAATGCATTTTAAAGGTTTAACGAATAAATGATTCAAAAGAATTGGCATATCCGCTAGGACTTACGCAAATTGAAGATACTAACTGAAATTCAATGTCACATACCTTACATAGGAGATGTGTATGTTTAAATGTCTAAGGTGCCACGCACTGTTGACATACTCCAGTCTATGCATTTAAAATTTTAATTTACAATCTACTAGCCCAAATTCAGTTTTGAATTCATACTACTATATATTTAACTAAATTTTTGTATATTTTTCACTTCATGAACTAGTTTCACAGGCTAGGGGCCTGTGCTAACTTTGATGATGCAACTTGGAAGCCATGGCCATGCAATTTTGGCTGTTCACCATTGAAGGATATCTGGTTGCTGATACAATAATAATCCATTCCTAATTTCTAATTTAAAAAAGAATTTTTTCTAGTTTCATTGTTATTGATGACTAGTATATCTTGTAACAATTTTCCATTACACATAGTTTGAAACTATAAATTTGATTCATACCTCTATTTGTTACAATCAGTTTAGACGTTGAAACAGTCCGGATAATGCATACTGTCAGATGTCTCAATAATACATATATAATGTAATTGTTATAAGTATTTTCACAGCTAATTATTTGGTCTATTAACTCAGTTGCTGGTTTACAATAGCATATCCTGTAATGTGCCTGACAGTTTAAGGCTGCAGTCCACATATATTTAAAGAACAAGTCAGGATCCATTTAAATGTTAGACATTAATTCTACACATATTATAATATTGTCATTAGATATATGATTTGTCGTAACATTTTTGTCCTAACATGACTTGATTAAATTAATGGTAACTTCGGCAAATTTAGCCCCTCTGTTTCAATCCTTATTACAGGTCAAGCTCATCCCTAGTCAAGTCTCCCTGGGTGGCGGAAGGTTCCCTTTGTGGCGGTTTTTACCTCCCAGTTTGGTTATTTCGATACAAATATGTACATGCCATGTTTGTTATTATGTAACATTTGTCATGTTTGTTATTATGTAACATTTGTCATTTATGGCATTTAATAAATGCCCTATTTCATTCAACCTAAGTGTTTTGTTTTATCTCATACCAAACAAGTTCGTCTTGCCAGTTATATTTGCTTGACCTGGACAATACATAAAATAGATTTTATGCCCACATAAAATAATTTATGTCATTGTTCTGTCCCTATACTCATTACTGTACAGAATATTACGGGTCAGGTTTTTAGCCGTTACGGGTCAGGTTTTAGCCAAGTACGTCTTAGCCAATCGATATCAAGACTTAAATCATGTGATGTTAATTAACCAATGATTACATTAGATCTATCACAAAGAAATAATTTTGGCGAGGAATGATTCTCGCCTTTCTGTTTACTAAAATCCACCTCCTCCAACTCCATCCTCCTCTTTCAATTTTTGATGTTGATATAAATACCATTTCATTTATTCTTAATGAATCAGTTGTTTCACTTATTGTTTATCTCAATTATTTGTGCAACTATTCATGAGATACACTATATATATATATATAATATTATGTATATTGTTCATGCAAAGATTTATAAAACTAGTCGATGTTATATTATCTCTTTCAAATATTTTTCTATTTGTTGTCATAAATACTTATGATATAGTCATATGTTATACACTTTTTAATGTATAGAATGTTTAAACTATTTTCCAAGGATGGAGCCCTACATCAAGTGGTACTAGACACAAGATAAAAGGGCACAGGTTTCCAAACTATGGTTTTTCCTGGGCGAGTCGACCACGATTTGGAAAATATTTATTTTTTCTGGTCAATTATTCTATATATACTTGATGCAAGCAATTTAAGAGTCCAACCCGTTTTTACACACGTATAAATACCTTATATGGATTAAATTTAAGAGTGTAACCCGTTTTTGTACACACCATTATACAGTAGAGATTCAATTCAAGAGTGCAACCCGCTTTTGTACACATATATATTCACTCGATACATACAATTTAAGAGTGCAACCCGTTTTTGCACACTTATTTATACCGTGTATAGATTAGATTAAAGAATGCAACCTGTTTTTGTCCAAACATAAATTAAATTAACAGTTCAAAACAGTGTAACCTGTTTTTGTATACATCTATATACACTTGATGCAAGCAATTTAAGAGTGCAACCCGTTTTTACACACGTATAAATACCTTATATGGATTAAATTTAAGAGTGTAACCCGTTTTTGTACACACCTTTATACAGTAGAGATTCAATTCAAGAGTGCAACCCGCTTTTGTACACATCTATATTCACTTGATACATACAATTTAAGAGTGCAACCCGTTTTTGCACACGTATAAATACCGTATATAGATTATGTTTAAGAATGCAACCTGTTTTTGTACATACATAAACACGTTAATAAGAATAAATTCAACAGTGTAACCCGTTTTTGCACATACATATATACCTTGAATGGCTTCATTTTAAGAGTGCAACCCTTTTTTGTATGCATCTATATAGCCTGATTAGATTCTTTATAAGAGTGTTACCCGTTTTTGCAAACAACTATATACTCTAAAAACAAATAATTTAACAGTGTAACCCGTTTTTGTACACATCTATATTCACTTGATATATGCACTTTAAGAATGCAACCCATTTTTGCACACGTACAAATACCTTATATAGATTAAATTTAAGAATGCAACCCGTTTTTGTACCCACCTATATAGCCAAAAAAAGATTGTATATAAGACATAAGACTGTAACCCAAAGATATTCTATTAACAGTGTAACCCGTTTTTGTACATACACACATACGTTAAATGGATTCAATTTCAGAGTGCAACCCGTTATTGTACACACCTACATGGGCAAAATAGACTCTACGTAAGAGTGTAACCCGTTTTTGCACACATAAATACATTGAATCGATTCAATTTAAGAGTGCAACCCGTTTTTGTACACACCTATATAGCCAAAAAATATTGCATATCAGACATAGGACTGTAACCCGTTTTTGCACACACATATTTACCCGAAAGAGATTCAATTAAGAGTGTAAACCGTTTCTGCACTAACATGCAAACGTTAAATGGATTCAATTTCAGAGTGCAACCCGTTTTTGTACACATCTACATGGCCAGATAAGGGTCTACGTAAGAGTGTAACCCGTTTTTGTGCATACACACATACGTTAAATGGATTCAATGTCAGAGTGCAACCCGTTATTGTACACACCTACATGGCCAAAATAGACTCTACGTAACAGTGTAACCCGTTTTTGCACAAACATGCAAACGTTAAATGGATTCAATTTCAGAGTGCAACCCGTTTTTGTACACATCTAAATGGCCAGATAAGGGTCTACGTAAGAATGTAACCCGTTTTTGTACATACACACATAAGTTAAATGGATTCAATTTCAGAGTGCAACCCGTTATTGTACTAACCTACATGGGCAAAATAGACTCTATGTAAGAGTGTTACCCGTTTTTGCACACATAAATACATTGAATCGATTCAATTTAAGAGTGCAACCCGTTTTTGTACACACCTATATAGCCAAAAAATATTGCATATCAGACATAGGACTGTAACCCGTTTTTTCACACACCTATTTACCCGAAAGAGATTCAATTCAGAGTATAACCCGTTTCTGCACAAACATGCAAACGTTAAATGGATTGAATTTCAGAGTGCAACCCGTTTTTGTACATATCTAGATGGCCAGATAAGGGTCTACGTAAGAGTGTAACCCTTTTTTGTGCATACACACATACGTTAAATGGATTCAATGTCAGAGTGCGACCCGTTATTGTACACACCTACATGGCCTAAATAGACTCTACGTTAGAGTGTAACCCGTTTTTGCACAAACATGCAAACGTTAAATGGATTCAATTTCAGAGTGCAACCCGTTTTTGTACACATCTAAATGGCCAGATAAGGGTCTACGTAAGAGTGTAACCCGTTTTTGTACATACACACATACGTTAAATGGATTCAATGTCAGAGTGCAACCCGTTATTGTACACACCTACATGGCCAAAATAGACTCTACGTAACAGTGTAACCCGTTTTTGCACAAACATGCAAACGTTAAATGGATTCAATTTCAGAGTGCAACCCGTTTTTGTACACATCTAAATGGCCAGATAAGGGTCTACGTAAGAATGTAACCCGTTTTTGTACATACACACATACGTTAAATGGATTCAATGTCAGAGTGCAACCCGTTATTGTACACACCTACATGGCCAAAATAGACTCTACGTAAGAGTGTAACCCGTTTTTGCACACATAAATACATTGAATCGATTCAATTTAAGAGTGCAACCCGTTTTTGTACACACCTATATAGCCAAAAAATATTGCATATCAGACATAGGAATGTAACCCGTTTTTGCACACACCTATTTACCCGAAAGAGATTCAATTAAGAGTGTAACCCGTTTCTGCACAAACATGCAAACGTTAAATGGATTCAATTTTAGAGTGCAACCCGTTTTTGTACACATCTACATGGCCAGATAAGGGTCTACGTAAGAGTGTAACCCGTTTTTGTGCATACACACATACGTTAAATGGATTCAATGTCAGAGTGCAACCCGTTATTGTACACACCTACATGGCCTAAATAGACTCTACGTTAGAGTGTAACCCGTTTTTGCACAAACACGCAAACGTTAAATGGATTCAATTTCAAAGTGCAACCCGTTTTTGTACACAACTAAATGGCCAGATAAGGGTCTACGTAAGAGTGTAACCCGTTTTTGTACATACACACATACGTTAAATGGATTCAATGTCAGAGTGCAACCCGTTATTGTACACACCTACATGGCCAAAATAGACTCTACGTAACAGTGTAACCCGTTTTTGCACAAACATGCAAACGTTAAATGGATTCAATTTCAGAGTGCAACCCGTTTTTGTACACATCTAAATGGCCAGATAAGGGTCTACGTAAGAATGTAACCCGTTTTTGTACATATACACATACGTTAAATGGATTCAATGTCAGAGTGCAACCCGTTATTGTACACACCTACATGACCAAAATAGACTGTACGTAAGAGTGTAACCCGTTTTTGCACACATAAATACATTGAATCGATTCAATTTAAGAGTGAAACCCGTTTTTGTACACACCTATATAGCCAAAGAGATTGCATATCAGACATAGGATTGTAACCCGTTTTTGCTAACACCTATTTACCCGAAAGAGATTCAATTCAGAGTGTAACCCGTTTTTGCACAAACATGCAAACGTTAAATGGATTCAATTTCAGAGTGCAACCCGTTTTTGTATACATCTACATGGCCAGATAAGGGTCTACGTAAGAGTGTTACCCGTTTTCAGACACACAAAAATTCATTGTATTGATTCAATTTAAGAGAGTAACCCGTTTTTGCTCACACCTTAGTATCGTAAAGAGATTCAATTCAAGAGTGCAACCCATTTTTGCACACTTATAAATACCATATATAGATTAGATTTAAGAATGCAACCTGTTTTTGTACATACATAAAGACGTTAATTATAAAATCACAATAGATCCTTTATAAGATTGTTACACACCTATATACCCTAAAAACATTGAATTTTACAGTGTAACCTGTTTTTGTACACATCTATATATACTTGATGCAAGCAATTTAAGAGTGCAACCCGTTTTTACACACGTACAAATACCTTATATGGATTAGATTTAAGAGTGTAACCAGTTTTTGTACACACCTTTATACAGTAGAGATTCAATTCAATAGTGCAACCCGCTTTTGTACACATCTATATTCACTCGATACATACAATTTAAGAGTACAACCCGTTTTTGCACACTTATTAATACCGTATATAGATTAGATTAAAGAATGCAACCTGTTTTTGTACAAACATATATTAAATTAACAGTTCAAAACAGTGTAACCTGTTTTTGTACACATCAATATACACTTGATGCAAGCACTTTAAGAGTGCAATCCGTTTTTGCACACGTATAAATACCTCATATGGAATAAATTTAAGACTGTCGCCCGTTTTTGCATACAGCAATATACCATAAACAGATTCACTTAAGAA